GTCGAGTCAAAGTCCGCAGAGATGTAAAGAGAAGCAGTCGAGACGGGGACTCGGGCCTTGATCTCGGCGGCGTCACCGGTGCTGGAGATCAAGAGATGGACAAAGACATCGAGAACAGCGGGATGGATCAGGTGAGCGGGCTCCCACTTCTTGGGGTAGAATTCCTTCGTGTCGATGACTTCCATGGAGAAGTGAGCCTTGTGATCAAAGAGGTTGAGTTCCTTGACACCACGGAATGCTGGGCCGAGGCTGAAGCCCGACTCGTCGAGCTTGGTGTAGAAGACGGTTGGGTCAACGCTGGGAAGGTCAGACTTGGAGATGTCCTTGTACTCTTGGTTCAGAAGAGCGTTGGCGGCAGCCTCCTCGTCCAAGAACGTGCTGTTGGTATCATGCTTATAAGACGTGCTGACAAGACCAGTACAGTTGGTCGTCCAAGAACCGCCCTCATTGCGACTCGAAACCGTAAACTCAGTCCAATGCGACCACGATACATTCGGCCCAGATCTCCAAGGCGTAAGCTGAAGTCTCGTCTCAACAGTTTGGTCAGGGGGAACAACAAGAGCACTGCCAATGTTGACATCACGAATAGTATAACCTTCAACATCAGCTCGCGTCTCAACCTGTCGCAGGCCCTCAATCGCCATGACGATCATACCAGCCATGGGGTAGATGTTGGTGTTCTGGAACTGATGGTGCTCAATCCACGGCTGCTCCGAGATGCGTAGGTAGTTGTGCCATGCGGGCTCGGCTTTGGTGGAGCGAGGATCTCTGACGCCGAGGAGTTCGAGGCGAGGATGCTTGCGTTGCTTGTAGGCGGTTACCGCGGCGGATTCGTGCCAGTAGCTGTTGGCGGTGTTCCAAGCGTAGGGAGGGAGATCAACGAGTGCGGAGGTGGTCTCGGTGTAGGTGTTGGCGAGAGGAATGTTGACCTGGTGGCCGAGAACGAGAAGTTCACCAACGACTTCGAGCGTAGTCTGGACGGCATCTTGCTTTCGCTTAATGGCAGAGAAGTACTTTGGCGAGGCACCATTATCACCAATGCTATCGAGGATCTGCTTTAGAGGTCCTTGGAGTGCAGCGTGAGGTCCAATCTCAACCATGGCATCCGCACTGCCCTTCTTACCCGAGGTCTTGCGCTTACCCAATGCACCAGCGTTAGCAGCAGCAGTGACAGCACCGGAGAAGTTGACAGGGCTGACGAGGTTAGCAACCCAGTACGCAGGGCCAAGTTCAGTGCCATCGATTGCCTTGGCCGAGACGGAGGAGAACATGCGGACTTTGGGATTGCCAGGCTTGAGCTCCCATTTGCCGGAGAGAGAGTTAAGATACTCCTCTGAGATCTGCTGCATGTGGTGAGAGTGGTAAGCTGTAGTGACGCGGAGTTTGCGGGCGAAGATGTCGTCAGCTTGAAGGAATGTGAGGACCTCATCGATGCCTTCGACGTCACCGGAGAGAGTGACACTGGCGGGACTATTGATGCAAGCGATGACAATCTTGCCTGCTGTAACGCGGCTCATATACTCACTCACACGATCGGGACCAAGACCGACAGCTGCCATGGATCCAGTCTTGGTAATATTGCCAGTAAGATGACCACGGAAGTAAGCAATCCTCATGGCAGCCTCCTTGTCAAAAGCACCCTTGGTATAAGCAGCAGCAATCTCACCACTAGAATGACCAACAGTGACTTGAGGGTGAATGCCCCAACTCGCAAGAAGATCAATGATGCTCAGCTGGAGAGCAGTACAGGAAGGTTGGCTGACATAGGGAAGGTCAATGATAGACTCCTTCGCATCGCGGTTGAGCTCTTCAACAAGATCCCAGGTGCTGCCGAAGTCCTTGAGGTACTGGCTGCATGCGTGGAGAGATTGCTGGAAGACGGGGTACTTCTGGAGTTCTCTGCCCATGGCGAACCATTGAGCTCCTTGGCCTGTGAAGATGAAGGTGAGGGCCTGGGATCGTGGAACGCGAGCGGCCTTGGTGGGTGCGCCGTCTAGGGCTTGCTGGAGCTCTTCGATGGTGGAAGCAGCGGCGTAGGTCTTCCAGGGAAGAGCAGAGCGCTTCTCGGAGAGGGTGTAGGCGAGGCGGTGGAGGAATTGGTCCTCGGGAAGTTTGCGGGCTGAAGGTTCAGCGAGATATGACTGGAGGGTTTGACTGAGACGGGCGATGCCAGACTCTTCGTGGGATGAGAGGAGGAAGAGATGAGATTTCTTATCAGTCCCCTCAATAACGTCTTGAGATCCATTGGCAATCAGGCCAGTACTGAGAACACCTTCGACCTTGGTATTGTGATGGCCCTTGAGGTTGTGAGTCTTGAGGAAGTGGTACGCATCATCCAAAACAGCATGAGCGTTGGCACCACCGTAACCAAAACTGTTGATACTGGCCCGTCGTAGACCAGCGGGCCACTTGATCTCCTCGGTAGGAATGTTAATCTTCCACTCATCAAGCTTGATCTTCGGATTAACGTGCTCAAGCCCATAAGTTGGAGAAATCACACCACTCTCAAGACTGTAAATAGTCTTAACAAGACCCGCAAGACCACTCGCCCCCTCAAGATGTCCAATGTTGCTCTTCACAGAGCCAACATAAACAGGTTTCTCTCTCGTCTTACCAAATACATTTTCAATGACTGAGCACTCAATTGGATCACCGACCTTGGTGCCCGTTCCATGCGCCTCAAAGAAATTGGTCTTGTCGAAGCTCAGACCAGCTGAAGCATAAGTCGCACGGATGAGCTCTTCCTGGCGAGAAGCAGAAGGTTGCGTAATTCCGAGGGTTCGACCGTCCTGGTTACTGCCCGTGCTTCGGAGGACGGCACGGATGGTGTCGCCGTCGGCAAGTGCTTTATCAAGACGCTTGAGGACGACGAAGCCACCACCTTCTGCACGGGCGTAGCCGTTGGCTGAGGCGTCGAAGGAGTGGCATTTATTGTCGGCGCTGAGGAAGGACATGGAGGACATGAAGACGCCGAAGTTGGGGAGGAGATGGAGACCGAGGCCCCCGACGAGAGCCTGCTAAATTAGAGCTAGTTCCTGGTAATACTTGGTATGGAACTCACAGAGTCGCTTTCGCCGTTTCGGATGCTCTGGCCTGCGAGGTGCAGGGCAGTCAACGTAGAGGAGCAAGCGGTGTCGATGGTGACACTGGGGCCCTTGAGGTTGAAGAACCACGAGATGCGATTTGAAAGAAGAGCTGGACCGGTGCCGGTGGCGGTGTACTTGGGTGCGCTGTCCATGTCGTAGGCTTGAAGATCCCAGTAATCATGCTGGCATGCTCCGATGTAACAAGACATGTGTTGATTGGCGACCTCATCGATCTTTAGACCAGCTAGGAAATATCAGAACCGGCTTCACAAAACAACAGTATGACGTACCATTCTCGAGGCCCTCGTAGGCCAGCTCAAGGAGAATCCTCTGCGTAGGATCCATTCCCCTCGCCTCCTCGGGCGTAATAGAGAAGAACCCGGCATCAAACTTATCAACATCACTCTTCAGAAAATACCCTTGCTTGGTATTCAACGTCCCCGCCCTTCCACCATCAGGATGATAAAACCCATCGATGTTGAAACGGCTCTCAGGAACATCACTCAGAGCATTCCTCCCCTCCTTCAGAAGATCCCAGAGATGACGAGGCGAAGTTGCATCACCCGGAAACCTACCAGAGACTCCGATGACAGCGATAGCAGAAGAGATGTCACCGTCTACCTGAGGGCGGCCAGCATCGTGTTCAGCGCCACCATTGGCAGTGCCATTGTTAGCACCGCCGTTAGCAGCGTTGTGAAAGCCATTAGCGCTAGGATGAGCTCCATTGCCGTTGCTAGTGCCGTTTGCGCCGTTGGAGCCATTGGAGAGAGTCATTGTGAGAGGGGGAAAAGAGTCAGAAACAAAGATTGTGTGATGGGCGCTGGCTTGCTTTGGATTTGACTCTGAAGAAAGGATGATGATCACAGAAATAACAACATGAAAACGACTTGGATCAGATATATGAACTGAAGCATTGCTATAATATCCATTGCCGCTCGGAGCTAGCTAGACCGGGTTAACAAGCTTAGGTTTCATCTACCGAGTATTTCGTGCATCCGACTAAAGCTCATGCACGTCTTCGGAAGATATTGACCCTAAGATCGGAGGTTGCGTCAGCGTCGGCGCCGAGAAAATTACCCACTGTACCCTTGTCAGACCGGGCCCGGAAAGACCGCGACCAATGATAATGAGCCGGGGATAACAGAATTTGAGCTGCCGGATTATTCTTGCGTGATATTCGAGGCTCAAAAAGGATCCGTATTTGCCTCAGTGGAATGAAGTTGCAAGCTGAGACATTTTTTTTCTTTTCCTTCATTCTCGCCGACACGTTATCGGGTGATGGATTTAAGGATAAGACACTGCTAGCGAAGTTTACACCTTACCTATTCACTTGTCGATAGACCAGCCACTATCATTTGAGGTAAGATGTACTCCGTACCCATCTGGGATATAGTAGAGGCATGTTGCTTGGGTTTTATTTACCATTAGTAAATATTAATATCGGCTAATTGGGGAAGTGTTTTATGCGCCCGTTTTCTAAACCTTAATACTAATAAGGAAGCCATGCATACTTGGCTCTTGTCTTAACCTGAGTTGCCTAAGACATCTTTTAAGGCCGTAATTAATAGGAGAATAGGCAACATTTAATCATCCCTTGAGAGACATAGCTGCATTATACCTTAATGCCATATTCTAAAGTTGTTATTCTATATAGGAAACTGAAGAGTTAGTGACTTACCTCTTGCAGGAGGGAAGTAGATCAAGGTTTAAAGCTAGCAGGATTAAGGTCAAAGCGAAAGTTCAATGCAAAAGGCAATTAAGGTAAATAAATCTAACTGCCGTCTTCAGAATACGAGCTGCTTTTATTACGAGCATCTATAAATTGATAATCCTGCGCTCCATTCTTCTGTTCTCGATAATGTCTTATCTCTTCGCCAGCCAGTTCGCCTGAAAACACTGCCGTCACTCGAAATCATGAAGCCTGTTACCATTCTTCTCGCGCTTACCAGTACAGCCTGCACAGTGTCGGCTGGTTTGCCCCGGTTTGGTTCGTGATATCCTTTATGATCAAAGATACTTCCGTTCTGACTGTACCCTTCACACAGCGAAATGTACCGCTGCTTCGCAGTGCAATTCCGATTATTGCTCTCCTGTACAAAATGCGGACTGCGACGAATTCGTCAATTGCCGTGGTAAGTATCCTCAAATCATCCCTCAGAAGGCTCCGGAACAGGGACTAACTACTCGAAGACAGCGTATGCTACGGTGCTTCAGTAGACTGTAAGCCAAACAGGAAATCATGTCTTGCTGCCATTGTACTCACTGATACGTAGCGCCGTGCTCGAATGATTGGGAATGCAACTCCAACCATTGCAAGGGTATACCATTGATCACTCTATATGAAATCTTTACTGACGCATTGCAGGAGGAAGATGCTATGACTGCCGTGATCCTCGCAACCATGCCAAGGCCAGGCCACCTTACCTCTCTGTGGGCTGTACGTCTTTGATTTGAAGTTTATATCCCTATTTGAAAGCTGACGTGTCTTTAAAAGCTTCCTGTACTGGATTCGGAGATCAATGCTGCGAGTCGCAATGTAGAGGTATGTTGATAGACCCTTGCTATGGCCTGGACTGAGCAAAGCTAATCTGTGCTCAGCTAACACTCAGAGGAACATGCAATGCATTGATAATACGGTCATCATGCAAATGGGCGGGCATGGGCCGTTCCCAGTGCAGAATGGACCATCCAGGCGTTGATTCGACATGACAATGGTTGGACTGTATAAAGAAACCCAGGTTTGAGAAACCTCGGATGTGGATACTGGCATTTTAATATGCACATTGATAAATATTATGGCTTTAGTGCTCTGTCTCTGCCGCTCAGTTTGTAATAAAGGAAAGGTATTAAACACGTCTTTGAAATTAGGGATAACATCTGATTTGGTACATAATTGTCAACAAAGCGGCTTTGCCTTTGGTATAACGTTCTGGGAGCGAGTTTATGGCGGTGCTAAGAATTTACCCTACCTTGGCTGTAGAAAGGCGACCGAGTCTTGATCAAGCAGTCGGATTGCTGTAATTTAAACCGAAGCCGAGGTATCCCATGTACAGAATGAGGGGAAACATATCCACTTGCACAGAATCAGTGATCTCAATTTTTAAAGACGGACATCGGTCTTATTAGTGTGACCTTGTGGATAAACGGTTCCTGACAAGAAAGCGGCTGAGGCATGTTATTTGCCGATCTTTCCCCACAATCTCGCCTCTCCCCAGATTTCTCCGCGTATGACCTCACTCCAAGCTCCACTACCCCAGATGGTTCATTAAGCGATTGATAAAGATTTATCCGCCCCATGATGAAACGGCATCTCGGCACATAGTGCCATTTGACTGTAGATGCAGATATACTGGTCTACTACTATATATATAACGATACTTTAGCGATAGAGAGAACTGAGACTTTCCAGTATCAACTCCCGGAAAGATGAAGTCTCTCACATCATTCTTAGCAGTTGCTCTAGCTGCGTGCACTGTCACCGATGCTCGTGGACTACACTATCAATCCGAAGCCCCATTGAATATCAAGACAACCAGCGGTCATCTGTCAGGTTTTATCAACAAGACCGCCCCGGATGTTCGCCAGTTCCTCGGTGTCGCCTACGCCGAACCTCCTCTCAAGTCCCTTCGCTTCAAACCCCCCAAGCGAAAGCACAGCTCAGAGCACGTTTCAGCCAAGAAGTACGCGCCGTCATGCAAGCAAATCATCAGCAAGAACCCAACAGTCTACACCGAGCACATGACCCAGTTCCTTATCAATGGTGGCGACTCTGAGGACTGCTTGTATCTCAATGTCTATGCTCCGTTGAAACCAACTGCAAAGAAGTTGCCTGTCTTTATTTACATCCCCGGCGGTGGCTTTACAGGTGGTGGTGCAGACTCGCTCTACAAGATCCCCGATAAGTGGATCCAAAAGACTCAGTCTCACATCGTTGTCACCATGAACTATCGCGTCAATGTCTTTGGCTTTCCCAACGCTGAAGCTGCCCAACAAAACGTCGGCCTTCTTGACCAGCGCATGGTTGTTGAGTGGACACGTGACAACATTGCAGCCTTTGGTGGTGATCCTCATAAGATGACCCTCTGGGGCCAATCTGCTGGTGCTGGCTCAGTTGGCATGTACGGATACGCTTATCCCAAGGACCTCATCGTCAAGGGTTTGATCTCTGATTCAGGTGCTCCGGCTATGCTGGCTAAGGCTTATGGTAACCACTCCAGTTTCGACACCCTTGCCGATAAGGTCGGCTGCAAGGGATTGGAAGGTAAGAAGCAATTGACCTGCATGCAACAGGTCGATGGTTCGAAGTTGCAGAAGGTCTACTCTGAGACACCGACGATCTCGTTTACTCCTGTTGGAGACAACGTCACAGCGTTCTCTAATACGACCGACAGACTTGCGAGAGGTTTGGTGACCAGAGTGGTAAGTTGCACAGGTATTTCGCTGGTTATGGTGAAGGTCTTATTGACATGCCATAGCCATGGATCTTTGGCAACAATGCCAACGAAGGTGCTGGCTTCGGCACATACGATCCTAACGGCGTGACACCAGCCCAGACTGCTATTGGGCTACAGGCTATCGTCTGCCCAGTTGCTGCTGAGGTCAAGTAGGTACCCCCATGTGCTGCAACATTCGTGTCGCTGACCCATTATCCCAGAAACCGTGTCAAGTTCGGATACCCAACTTACAGATATTACTACACCGGAAATTTCTCCAATATTACTCCCCTGCCCTGGATCGGTGCGACCCATAGCGGTAAGTACACCATTTCGATTTGCGGATTATCTTCTCACATAACGTAGCGGAGCTTCCTCTGCTCTTCGGAACACATTACGAGTACCGCGGTAACTCCACTAAGTATGAATGGGAGGTTGCCGAGGGCATGCAAGGTAGGTCTCACTAACTACACTTCTCTAGGAGGTTACTAATTAGTATAAAGGTCTGTGGCTTTCTTTTGCAAACAACCCCAAGCAGAACCCTCAAGTTGGAAAGATCACTTGGCCTTTATATAAGCCCAATGAGAACAAGATGGCTGTTTTTGCGGAGGCTGGAAAGAAGTGGTTCCAGTTAGGCAAAGGGTCTCTGACCGAGACCCAATGTAAGTAGGAAAAGGGGGGTATAAAGCTTATATTAAGGTTATAAATACTTAAAGAAGTATTACTTAATAGCTAGTTTCCTTTTATATTACTACTTAATTTATATAACTATTTAAATATTATAAGCTTATATTTATAAAATATAAAATTGCTTTATATTAATATTAAATTAAATAAACTCTTTATAGTAATATTACGACCCTAGCAGTTATATTATATAGACCCTATAAAAACTTTACCGTAAAACCTACTGCAGTAACTAACCAGACTGAGGACTGATAGACTTAAGACTGATAGCGCTCTAGGACCGTATCGCTCCAGGACTGACGATAACCTTCCATTATATCGCTTCTATATAAGCACTATTAGTATATATATATACATTTATTTAGCAGTAGATAGAACTTAGCTTACTAGCTATTAATAAAATATCTTTATCTTAATAAGCCTTACCTATACTATTAACTATTAAGAGATATAATACTTTATTAATATACTTAATTTAATGCCTTATATATCCTGTAAATATAAACCTATTATAGATTAGTTTACCTGTTTAGAAACTGACTATTATAAGTAGGCTTATATAGATATAGTATTAAAATATTAAATTTTAATTATATATAATAGTTATATTAAATATTTAACTAAATTATATACTTAAATAAGTTTCTTTTTCTAAATTAATATAACTTTAAAAATTTATAATATATAGATTTTATAAAATTAAATGCTTAAAACACTTTTTTATTTATCTTAATTAATTATAATAACTTTAATTATATATAATGTAGTTAATATACATATTAGCCAGATAAGCATATTAGCTAAAAATCCCTTATCTTATATCTAAACTATCTAATTAGTTAATTCTTAACTATAAAGTATGCCTTAATTATTAAATAAAGCTAGAATCCTTCTTATACTTTAGGCCCTTTAAAATAACCCTAAATTAAATACCTAATATACTATAATACTATAATAAGTTAACTGCAATACTCTTAATAACTATTATAATAATATATAATTATAAAATAATTATATCCTAAAATTATAAAAACTATTTAATCTAAAAGAATAAATAATAGTCTAATTTATTCTTAATCTAGATTTATAAGGATTTCCCTTATAACTATATTTTATAGAAGAAATAGCTAATTCTCTATTAGCTAACTGTAATATATTACCTATTAGTAAGCGCTAGGCTTATAACTTTATAAAGTAATAACTAGAGCTAAAAATATATTTATTTTAGAGATATAACTATTAGAGAGCTAAATATAAAGATCTAACTATTATTTATAGCTAGTTTTAGCTTATATAGAATATAATTATAAAGTATAGTATTTAATTAAATAATATCTAGAACTTTAATAAAACTGGCTTTATAATAGGCCTTATTATAGCTAGAATGGCTATTATAGGTTTAAAAATACAAAAAAGACTAAAATTAATATAGCCTAAAAACCAGAAATAGATTACTGTAATTTAAGTAATTAATATAAAAGGTTAATTAATTATACTAGTTATTATTAATATAGGCTAATATTACCTTATTAATTAATATTAAGAATATAACCTTCTATTAGATTAGGTTATTATAATAAGCTAAAATAGGTAAATAAATAATAAGCTAGGTCTTAAGTAGCTAAAGTACTTTAATTAGTCTATAATTAATTAATTAATTAGTCTTTATTGTCTTTCAATCCTTAATGGTTATAAAAGCCACTACTTGGCCGATTTTAAGAGATATTATAAGAAAAATAAGATTATTATACTCTATATGCCTATATAACAGTTGGTTCCTAACTGTAGATAAACTAAGCTATATTAGGTTTATTATTAGCAGATTATATAAGGTATAATACTAAGCAGTTATTAAAGTATTATATCTCTTAATAGTAGATTTAATATATATTAGACTTAATTAATATAAAGAAGTTTTTATTAATAGCTAATAAGCTAGAATCTATAGAAATATAAATAAATATATTTTATATACTAAAATATCTTTTAATAGGGCTAATTATAAATAAGGTTATTATTAATTTTAATATAGTATACTTTTAAATTACTATTAGTTTAATATTAATTAGTCTTATATTAAATTAATCTATTATTAAATATACCTTTTAATAGTTAGTTTAGGTAATTATATTCTTATTAGGTAAATTTTATAGGTCCTTTATATATATATAATATAAATGCTAGGGTTATAATATAATCTCCCCTTTTTAGTAGTCTTATCCTTAAGGCCTATTATCTTAATTAATATTATATTTCTTTTAATAAGTCTTAGCTTAAACCTTTTATTATTATACTTTATTATATTTAACTATATTTCTAAATAGATATCTTAAAAAGATTATAAAATTTAAATACTTATATTTTCTATTAAATTTATATATAAAAAAGCTAATATACTATATACTTCCTTAGTTTAAACCACTGCTTCTTTACTAATATCACTTTATCTGCAGTTCTTAGATATAAGGTCAATTAGTTACATACCTTTATATATACATTCAATTAGTAAAGGTTAATTTAGCTTTTGCCAACTAACTTATATAAAAGTTAACCTAATTCCTTTAAACCTTTAGTCTAACCCTGCTATTACCCTATATTTATTCTAGCTTTACTTTTATAGTCTTAAACTATAACCGGCCTATTAACCCTTATATAAGCAGGAGGAAGTTAAGTATATACTTAGCTTTAATAATTATATTTTATAGTTACTCTTTATAGCTAGCTAAATTTAGGCCTAAAAAGGCAGCTAGAAAGGTAGCCTAGTTAGTTATTAAGGTCCTGCCTTACCTTATAGCTTCTTTTAGGTCTTTTAATTATAATAGCTTTTTAGCTAGCCAGTCTAGAGATATTATATAAAATAAAATATCTAAATCTATATAACTAATTATATTAATTAGGATATAGTTAAAAATAGCTATCTTAATTAGGCTAAATTAATTCCTTAATAAAAAGTTCTTCTTTATAGCTATAGCTATTATATAAAGCTTATAGTATTTATAGCCTATAGCTTTTATTAATACCGATTTAATTATATTAATAAGGTTATAATTAGTTATATAATAGGCCTAATTGGCCTGCAGGCTATTATATAGTATTATAATAGTAGCTATAATTGATATTAGTAACTATAACTAATAGGTATAGAAAGTCAGGTTAAGGAATATACTTAAATATAATAGATTTAGCCTAATTAAAAAGGTTAATTTAAGATCTTTTAGGTAAGGTAAAGGAAAAAGGCTAATATAGCTGCTAAAAGGTGGTATTAAGACTGCTTAATTAAGGCAGTAATTATACCACTAAGGCAGATAAACCTTATATAATTTTGACCTTTAAGATACAGGCCTACTATAGGGGCCTTATTATTTAAGCCTTTATATATAAAGTTAGAAGCTTAATAGCCTTATAAGGCTAATAGTAAGGGAAAAAAAAATAAGTATTTTACTATATATTTAAAAGCTAATTTAATTTATTTTAAGGACTTAATATATTATTTAGTATATCCTTTTTTATTAATTATTTTAAATGCTTATTTAAATGTATTTTTAAATATATTAAAATTATTATAAAGTATAAATATTTAAGGTTATTATTTTAATTTAGATTTATTAATATAGTCCTTTATAATAGATTAGAACTATTATATAGCTATACTTTTAAGGTATTTTATAATATATATAGTTTTAATAAACTCTTTTTTAAACTAAATTAAATAGTAAATTATAAAGGCTTTATATTAAATAAGAAATACAGCTAATTTACTAAAGGTTTTATTAAATAGTTTAGGTAGGTTAGGCTTAAGTATTTCTCTAATATCTTTATCTATTACTATAGTATTTATAAGGTTTTATATTTCTTAAAGTCTATTTTAATTATTTATTACCTATTAGGCTTAAAGGTTTATAGTTTCTATAAGTATTTAATAAAACTTAGCTATTTTAATAGTTATATTAATAACTTACTATTAAAATTAAATAACTTTTTTATCTTTTTCTTTAAAATAGTTATTATTATTATCTTCTATAATTTAGTTAATAAGAGGGTTATTAATAAAGGCAGTAAGATACTATTAGGCAGGTTAGATTAATATAGCTATTATATTTATATTATTTAGTATAATATAATATAATCTAAATAAAAGCTATTAATATATAACAGTTAGTTCTTAACTATAAATAAATTAAGCTATATTAGGTTTATTATTAGTAGATTATATAAGGTATAATATTAAGTAGTTATTAAAATATTATATCTCTTAATAGTAAGTTTAATATATATTAGGCTTAATTAATATAAAGAAGTTTTATTAATAATTAGTAAGCTAGAATCTATAGAAATGTAAATTAATATATTCTATATATTAAAGTATCTTTTAGTAAGGCTAACTATAAGTAAGGTTATTATTAATTTTTATATAATATATTTCTAGATTACTATTAGTTTAATATTAGTTAGTCTTATATTAGATTAGTCTATTATTAAATATACCTTTTAATAATTAGTTTAGGTAATTGTATTCTTATTAAGTGAATTTTATAGGTCCCTTATATATATGTGATATAAATGCTAGGGTTATAATAGCCTGCTTATATATTATATTTACTCTAGCCTCTTAATATTAAGTACTTTCAGCCATTAAAAAAGGCTTATAGCTAAGAAATAGAGTATTTAATTAAATACTTTATAACTTATATTTTTAAAATTAAGTTCTTTTTTACTTTTTATATTGTATTTAAAGCTATCTTTATAGAAAGTAATATCTAATAGGGTTTTAAAGAAACTAGACTTACTTCTTTTAACCTAAAAACTATAATCTTAAAGCTTAATATATAGCTATAGACCTTAATGCCTCCTAAAAAGGCTACTTAACTATTAATATTATAGGCTTTAAAGACCCTAAAGACAGTAATTAAGGCCTAATTTTAGTCTAAATACCTTAAAAAGTAAATTAAAAGGCATTATAATAGCTCCCTAAAGTCTATTATTAAAGCTTTAAAGTTAGCTATAAAGGCAATAAAGGAAGTTATATATAAAGTAACCTTATTAAAGGCTAAACTTTATAATCTTTAAGATATAAATAAGATACTAAGTTAGTACTATAAGGTAAAAAGGATTAAATTATAAAAAAAAGGGACTATAACTATATAAAAAGTATTATAAATAATTAATTAAATAGATATTAATACTTAAGTAGTAGCTAAATTATTAAGAAGTAGTAATTAAGTAAGGTTAAAGTAATTAGGCAGTTAGCGCTATAATATATATAGTAAAGGCAGTTATAATATAAAGACTTATTAGGTAGTTCTTAAGTTATTTAAGAAGGAATTTAGTAAGTAAAAGTGAAATAGTTATAGGTTTTAAATAGGAAACTAGTCTATATTAGGTTTTATATTTACAGAAATATAAGGCATATATACTAAGCTTAGCTTAATTATTATATCTCTTAATAATTAATTAATATATATTAGGCTTATTAATATAAAGAAGTTTTATTAATAGCTAATAAATTAAGTTCTATTTAATGCTAAATAAGTATATATATATACTATAGGGGCTTATGGCTATATAAGTTAGACTTATAGTAAGTCTATAAGTTAGATTGTAAGTTAGTAGGATAACTTATAGTAAATCTGCCTTAATATAGTATAAATTAATCTATAATTAATAAAAACTAGTAGGGTATATATAATATAAGCGCTATATCCTATTTAGTTATAATACCTAACTTTTATGCCTTCTATAATAGATAACTATAATTTACTAAATTTTACTAATTATAATACTTACCTTCTAGTTACTTTTAACTATATAAAAAAAAACGGCTAAACTTTAAATATATTACTTAACTGCAATTTAGGTTTAAATTAATTTATACTTTAGGAGAATACTTTTCTAGAACTTACCTTTTAATTAATACTAATTTTATTTATTTTATATACTAAAATGTCTATAAATTCTACCCTTTATATTTTCTATAAACTCTACCCTATATTATTAATAGTGCCTTTTTATTTTATATAGGTTTTTCTATAAACTTTACTATAATTTATTACACCTATTATAGATAGGTAAGGTTTTATATAGATTTAAAAGAATTAAGTTAACTTTATTATATAAGTTAGTTAGTAAAAGTTAAATTAACCTTTATAAATTAAATATATATATAAAGGTATATAATTAATTAATATTATATTTAAAAATAGATAAAGTAATATTAATAAAAAAGTAATAATTTAAATTAAGGTTAACTGTAATTATAGCCTATATATTAATTTAAGAGATTTAAATAAAATTATTATTTACTTTAAAAATTTAACTTAAAGAAGTAATAAACTAATTAAAAAGAAATAACATTATAAAAAAGTAGATTTAATCTTTTAAAGTTAAAAAAATAAATTTAATTTATTATTAAAATATTATATATTATATAAAGCTCTTTATATATTTCTCTTAGTAAGAAGAAAATCACTATTTAAATAATATAATAAATGCAAGAATAACTAATTTCCAGTCTATATTTAGCTTGGCTTAAACCCCTTAAAGCTTTAATGCCCTTACAATCTCAGCATTTATACACTCTTGGTCTCCTCCAAATAGGTTATGGTTGTGCAGACTTAGATGCACATAGAAGTAACCATCGCGGGGCTTGTAATTTGGACCCCTAATTGCGCATCTCTTCAGAAGTACCTCCATCTTGTCCTTTCTCTTTAGCATTAGTGCCACATTTGCTGGAAGATGGGTTCGCGCGTATTGCAAGAGGAAGGCTGCAATGCCTGCCATTATCGGCGTTGAATAGGATGTTCCAGATCGAGTTTTGAGGCAGTCTGAATTTGAATCATTGCCTAGAAGTACTGGCCATGCTGATTCAATAGATTCACCAATAGTTGCAAGGTTAAGGGCATTTGGTTCTGCTGTTGGGCTGAAATCGGAAGCTTGACCGTTGGCGTTTGTTGAATGGACACATATAACCTGAGAATTGCTTGCTGGGTATGCTCTCCCTAATCTGGCGCCACTATTAGAAGCAGCAGCGAACATTAGAACCTTCTTAGAGTACGCATGATATATGGCGTCTTCTATTGCACTATACCCTGGGATATCAGAGGAAGGCCACCCAAAAGACAAGGAGATAATATCGACCCTCCATATGTTAACAGCGTGGTAGATTGCCTAAGAATTTTAGTATTCCACCAGAAGATAAAGAGGGTCACTGCTCACATCCACCACATGTTCCACATTGGGTGTCATATTTTTCTTATCAGCAATCTTAGCGATGTATAGAGATGCATCTGGTGCATAGTCCAATAGGAGACTTGCGGCGAAAGTCCCATGTCCGTGGGTATCTGACACAATCCTCTGGGTGTTATCATAGAAGTTCTTCTGGTCATCAAGCCTATCTTCACATGCCTCCAGCATAGGATGATCTCTGTCGATTCCTGTATCAAGTATAGCAACCCGGACAGGCTCTGAAGGAAGACCTTCTAAAATGTCACCAAGAAATCTTTTATGTACATCTCTGTATTCGGCTCTCCAGGCTCTGTACTGCTTTACTCTATTTATGTGTTAGGTGAAAATCTGAATCTTAAATTTGCCAGCCGGGATAACTTACCCTGTCACAGAAGCCTCCGACTGGTTGTCGGAGAACTGAGGGGATCCATAAAAGGCATCAGAAGCCGGCTTAAGGCTAGCGGCGGATGGCTTGTATGATATAACAGGAGGCAACTGTGATAACGGTTGTCTCGAGTTTTGAAATTCTGTGCTGATAGGAAGTGTTTGAACCAATGGTATGGATGGAGGTATGCTTCCTTTTCTGGTATGAGCAGAGGATAGTAAACTTGACTGATTGTTTGCTTCTGATCCTGTGATCTCTTGACCCCATTGTCCAAAGTCAAGATTCTTAGCATATTGATCCACGGTGTCGATGTGGATCTGGCTGAAGCCCTGAGTCAAGTAAAGCTCAAGGGGCCAGACGACAGTCTTATATATTCGAGATCTCAGTTCTTCAGCACTGAGTGGTTCACCCTCTATATTTCCCCAAAGCTTTACGTCAAGGCAGTTGTCGATGATCTCGAGTAGGGGTGAATCTTCTGGGATTTGAGCTCTCCAGCCTTCCTCACCGTCTCCAACTCTCCCAAAAACTTGGTCAACATCTACAAGCGTTATGCAACCGCTTTCCGTTGGTATAAGCGAGATGTTGTGCATTGATGCCAGTTGTCTAAATGGCCTGACGAAATAAATCTCCATGAGCACAATAGCCAGAGCGATCAATTCAGGACAGCAATGTCCAGAATTCAGATCATCAATTAACTCGGCATCATTATCTGACCTTTCACAAGTGTCTTCCTTTTGAAGGTGAACTTCGATAAATGGTCTTAATGGTGTCTTGCAAGCCATTGTCTGAAAGAACTTAATATTTGATGATCCCCAATTCGACTGTAGCCAAGACGTGCTGCATAGGTGAAGAGCAGTATAGCCGAGTATTAGGGATAATATTCGTTTTGTCTTCTCCGTGAAAAGGTCCCTCTTATCTTCTAAGCATCTTAAGAGGGATACAGGTTTGGTGCTGCTATCGATCTGGAAGGTACTCTTTTCATGCTGAACCTCAAACAATTTACCACTCTCCAGTCGTAGAAGTAGGCGCTGTAGAGGTCGTTCTCGTGTCTTAGCGATAGGCCTGCATAACGTTTCAATCTTTGCCATTCGTGCTTTCTTCCTTTTATGGGGCATAGTCTCTGCTGCGTCATTGAAGCGCACAACCCTTTGTTTAACTGCCTGTACGCGAAACTCATGCCAGCCACGTTCCATAGACAGGAACATTCCCATCTCTATGGCATCAAGGTCTTCATCCGTATGGTTTCTCCGTACGGGCTTCTGATAAGCTGCTTTCTTCTCAGGTGTTCGATATGTGCCCAACTCGAGTTTAGCTTTAAAATCATGCTGAGGATGGCAGGAACAGTCTTTGCAGGCTATCAGAGAATTAAAGACGGAATTTGCTGCTGTTCCAATCGCGAGTTGGGGCTCTATAGTCTTGAGTGCTTCGAGCGTTGTGGCGGACTTTCGGAGAGGCTGCTCGGGTTGGCTCGTCTCAAACACGTCGGCACTTCTCTCAAGCGTCTTGTCAATTTCATTTCTTTGCTCTTCTGTGAGGTCTTGGCTCAGCCATCGCTGCACGAATTCAGCCTTTAAGCTCTCTGATCCTGTTCGAATATTCTTCCACAAACGATTGATTGACTCCAGTCGAAAATCGTGCATAACAAGATTAGCCGGGAGTTCCTGCAGGCAAGTTTCTGGTATTAGGAGATTGAGACTTGAAATAGCCTGATCAACGCAGTGTTTGTCTATTTCAATAGACTCTTGGCGCGCGCGAGTCAAGCTCACTTGTAATCTGAAGCAATTGTAGCCAAGGTGACAATAGAAGGCTTTGACCTCTTGGTTGGCCGCGTTGAGGTAAGCTACTTTTGCAACTTCAATGACCGTCCCCGCTGTATCCACAAGGAGGTCCTGGATGCCACTGCTAAGATTCGTACTGGAGTTCATCTTGACCGTGCTGTTTATAGATTATAAAGTCGGTATCAGAAGTTTCAGGAATAAGTACTGTTAAAGTTGGATTCGACGCACATTTGCGGCTGAACGGGAGGCGGGGTAATGCTGACACATCATCAAGGGACGGTCATTCCGTAACATGTTAAAGTAATGAAACTCATCAAGCGGTAAAAGCCAGCAGGTAGTCCGGGCATTGGAAGTGGCGTTAGTCTTTGAGTATTGGTATGTAGCCTCGAACCCGCCTAGGGGCCTTACAAGCTCGTGTGGTAACTATAGGAGGCTAGAGTTTATCTAGGCTTGTTAAATTGGACTGCCTATCTGTTAGAGCCGAGTTTGCGAATCTAACCAATCGCTGGACTTTGGCCAGGCTAGGCTTACCCCACTCCTCCAGACCCCGCCACCTACCGTCATCAACATCGTATCGCAGAGGAATTCCAATATCAACACTCGCCGCGATGGCTAGCCAGCATGCATATACGAAGCCGGAAGGCCCCAAAATTTCTGACTGTGCTAATGAGTGCTTTGAGTCCTTCCAAAAGTGTCTCTCCAGTGCGGCATCTATTCACCCCCGGGAGGTTTCAATCGTGGAGGACCAACTTGCGAGATTTTCTACTTGGGCCAACGGCATTGGTGTCTTTACCCAAGGGTCTGCAGCTATGGACCATCGACTCAGATACGCCTCTGACGTCGTGGGTATTGTTACTGGCTTGCTAGAAACGTTGAACTATCGTTGTCAAATATGTTAGTCTACCACATGATACAATCTGACATTGGAGCTTTGAAACTTACTGCGCCCAGGTTTGCAAGCCTTGGGTTCTATCTTAGAGTCTGGAGAGAAGAATGTCCGGGCTACTGCAAATGCAGCTTTCCAGCAGTCTATGCTGGACATTGCTGCTGAGATCAGTCGGCTCAATAAGATCTCAAACACTATTCGTCGTGCCAGCAAACATGCTCAGACCCTCAGAGCTGGTGATTTCACCATAAAGGATGACGAGGGAAATGATGTAGAACCACTTCTACTGTCACACTTTACTCACCTCATCGCAGATAGATTTCCAAATCTATCCGCCAACATTCAAAACCGGTTGGCCTGCAGCATGATTCTACGGCGGAAAAGGATTCTGTACAGAAGGTACCGCCATGGTATGTTACAGATGCAGACTGAGAAACGGCTGCTGCCAGATGAAAAGGCCTCGGGACCTTCAACGCAACCCATCCCGGTAACGCCGGTAAATTCTCCAAAAAAGAGTGCAACAAGTCTCGATCCTCGTAAATATCAAGATGCAGCTCTGAGTCCCTCTATCGTTTCAGATGGAAGAACAGTTCCGCTCCACCATCACGAGGCGCTTGCTTTCCCTCCAGCACCGGGATATACCGTCAGAAAGAAGTATAAACAACTCGAAAATGAAAATCACAGTAATTCTCAGCATCTTCCTCTTGGCTTCTCAGAAGATGGACACTTGCTAGAAAACGAGCTTTTGAAAAGGAGCGAAATTAACTGTCCTTATTGCTTCCACTTGCTGCCCATTCAAGAGGTCTCAGACAAGCGAAAATGGCAGTGAGTATATTTCTTCCCATTCGCTGCATAAGATATCAATCTGAACTGAACTGATCGCATGATTAGGAATCACGTCAGGAAAGACCTGGACCCCTATGTTTGTATTTTCGAATCTTGCGAACAGGCGGACGTACTTTACAGCCATAGCGATGAGTGGATAGATCACTTGAAAAGCCATTCTCTGTTTTGGAGGTGCGCCGCCCATCGCGATTTGCCGCCTTTTAAATCCGCTAGAGAGTATATTACACACATAAGGGACATTCACAAGAGTAGACTGAACGATGCTCAACTACGATCCTTGGCGAACAGAAACAGTTGCAAGATATATAGGCTATTTCATTCCTGCCCTCTTTGCGGAAAAAAAGAGACGGACACTGATACCATTCTTGAGCATCACCTCGCTGGTCACATGCGCTCTCTTGCGCTTATATCGCTACCGACTTTCTCTGAAGAAGCAGATTCTGGGTCGTCTATTGGCAGTAGCAGTCTTAATGTATCGCGTCCATGCAGTAGGAGCACAGTTCGAGGCATGAGCGATGATGATAACGATTTAGCTCTATCAACGCTTGGATCTGGAGATCCGTGGGACACTGGGCGACCGAGCGATGTCGGAACCGACTCCTTCGATGGCTCGCGTGGCCAGCCTTTTAATGTTCATGGGGTCGAGAGACCTAGTCCACCCCTTGATATCCTTGGTTTCCAATACTCAACACATGACGCTGAAGACGATCCAATCATCCAGTCAATGCTGGGATATATGAAGAGTGAGGCTGCAACGGTAGAGAAGAATCTTAAAGGAGAATCGATGCTTTTAGGGGATCAAGATTCTAGGTTCGACCAATACCCTACAGCCTTAGAGGCGAAAAATATCGAGGCGAAACCCTATTCAGAATTTCAAGATCCAAAACCAGCTGAATCATCTACACTAAGCTCATTGCCATCAGCTACTGACATGTCAGAAGAAACTCTGTCTGGCTTCGATTTACCCTTGCCAGGCTATAATGACGAGGTCAAAAACAGATTAAAGCCAACTAAAGGAAAGGAGAAAGCAGAATCGACCACACAACAAACAAAGAATCTATCTACTGAGAGGCAAGCAGAAGTGGGAATCAAACACGTCTATTCACAATCGGCATTCAGGAGGTCAAAAAGTATCAAATCCGACTATGAGATTAATGTTAATGGTCCAATTGAAGTTATTGGGTCAGTTAAGTCTGGCAGTAGTGTAACTTTGACTGGGGATGTTATAGTAAGAGAGAAAGTCGATGCCTTTGGTAGTCTTCTGTTGAGCGGGAGTATCCGATGCGAGTGAGTAGAATTTCCCTCTTGTTAAGAACGATAACTAATGAATCTCACAGCGGCAAGGTGAAAGCTTACGGAAATATTACAGTTAACGGCTATACTTTAGTCAATGGTAAAATGAAAGGATGTGGCAAATTGAGAATTATAGGTACACTTGAAACGACTGACCTGGAGATCTACGGTAATGTTTCTCTTACTGGACATTTGTATGTGTATACCCCAGCGGCTTGAATATTCCTTTTAACAATTATTTAGGAAATGTAGGCGTCTCGTTGTGTATGGGACGCTCACCTTAATAGGATCTGATTCTTCTTACTATATAGAAGAATCTGAGCAGGTTGCCGGAGCTGTAAGAATGGCAGAAGCAGAGCCGGATTGGGATTGGTAATAATGAGTCACGCAGAAGAGAACTAAAAATACCTAAAGCTGGTTAGTATATGCTGTGGGACTTAAATTTAATGCATATTATGGTTCATAACTAAGTATAGTATTATAATGTCTGGCATACTTATCCTATTTTTATCTCTCTAAATTAACTTATTCCTTTAAGTTAGGGTTATAGAAACTCCTATTACCTACTTCTCACTTATATTACTTAAATAGTTAGATGCACTAGGTAGACCCAGCTAGCGAATAGATTGCCTGAATATGCTTATTAGCTCAGTTTAAAGATCTTATTTACTCTGAAGTGTAAGTTGCATACTGCGCACTTTAAGGCTGTGTTGATAAATGTAGCCACTAATCAGTCAGAGTTTCCTAGAACACGTCAGCACCTCATTAATGCCTAATTCAGCCCCATTTTGAACCTACTTATCCTCTCTTGAGGCTGTGTTGGTCACTGTAGCCAATAAACAGTCAAGATATCCAGGAACACGTCAGCATCCTTATCGATGCCTAGCTCAGCCCCATTCATTTCATTTAGTCCCTAAATTCTATTAATTTAAGCTTGTTCATCCTCTCTTTATTTTCCTCGTCTTGCAGTTAAAGAGTACTATTTTGAACTTAAGTTATGGCAAATCCGCAATTTTATTATTTCTACGCACCAACATGGGATTATCCGCCTGAAGGTCCCATCAAATTGGGCAATGTCATTACCTCTATTAAAAAGCCACATATCAGTCTTGCCAATATAGTGCCATCGCAAGACATAGGAGTCTTTAAGACTGAGAAAAAGAGTGTTCAGTATACACAGGAGAAGTTGATTAGTGGGAGCTTTTCTATCTTAACTCGATTTCTAAGTATTCTGGGATTTGGTGTTGATGTTAGTGCTGAAGTCAGAAAAAGGTAAGTTTAGAGATCAATATCGCTTAATTAAGTACTAATAATAGAAGTAATAAGGAATCCTTTATTTTTGATACACTTGAAACTACTCAATTCATCCCGACACCAGGCTATCTTCAGCAATGTCTTGATCGCGAGTCAGTTCGCCGCTGGCTCGAATTGAGTAATTACCGCAAGCCGATTTATATCATAACCGGGCTAAAGGTTGTCACTGGCGCTGAAGCTAACACAATCAGATCCCGCACTGTCGGTGGTATTGTGTCTGCCGAGGTAGACGGTACAGTATGGAGCGGTGGAACCGCCTCTATCGGCATTGGACCAGGTATCGAAGGAGAGGTTGGCGAAAAGCGAGAAACGAGGTGGGCCGATGGAAATTTCGTCTTTGCTTTTCGTGTAAGCAAGATACATATAAAGAAGACTGGGGATATTATCAAAGAGGAGGAATTTACTCGCGGAGCTTTTCTGGATTGTAACGACCTTAAGCCTAGAGAAGGCACACCCAACATTATAAGTATAGTGGATATGGACATAGAGTCTGAAGGGTTCTATAGAGAGGTATTAGTAGAAGGGGGTGAGAAGGTATTTATAGCAATTTTAAGGAAGTAAGATTAATTAAATATGTTTCCTTAAACAGCCTCTTACAGTTAGTTATATTAAGCCAGCTATTTAATTACAGTATTACTATAAGATTAATATTTTAAATATAACTTAATAAATAGAATAATTTTATAAATAGCTTATTAACTTCTATTAATTAAGACTTTAAGATAGAGGTTAACTCTTTTAGTACTAAGCTATAAAATATATATTTTATAGCTTAAGTTAAATATTAAAAAAATATTAATAGTCTAGTTGTATTAATATATACTTTAGTATATCTATATAACACTTAAGTTATTTATTATTTAAATTATATATTTACCTTAAGTATTA